CCCCAGTCCTGTTCCAGCTGGAACCCCTTGGTACAGGGCCAGCACCGGCACATGATGCTCTGGTGCTCCGAGGCACGCCAGCAAGAGGCGCGCTTCGCTTTTTAGTTCTGGTCACCAAGAGACAAGGAGCCGCCCAGCAGGCTCTGTCTGAGACACACCGGGGCCCCACACGGTGGCCTCGTGACCAAGCAGAGTCGGGGGAGGGGAGGCCACAGCCCACCGCTGTTTCTGCCCGGTGCTCGCGGGAACACACTGGTGACCCAGTCGACAAAAGGCGCGGGGCCTACGTGCACACAGCCCTTTACAGGCATTCCAGAGGGAGGACCATGGTGTGGACTGTTCTAGAAAACAGACGCTCCTCAGTGGGAAAGGAACCTGGCCCAGGACACTGTCCCTGAGGAGGCCCCTCAGCACCCCTGCCAACCTCCCGACAGCACCTGCCAGAGACAGAAGGGAGCGCCCCAACAGCAGGAGGCAGGGCCCCCTTCCAGCAGGCCAGGCGCCTGCGCCCGGCGGGGCTTACTGACACCACGGCACCTGAGGGCCATCGTCACCCTCTTCACGGACACTGCCTCCACTGCGTCACCCGATCCCGGCCAGCCCCTCAATACGGGGACGAGAGTGCCAGCTCCACACGCTTTCTGAACCGCGCACACACATCTTGGTCTTGAAAGCACAAGTGATAATGGGGGGCTCTGAAACTGTCACCCCAACGTGTCTCACACACGTGCAACCACGCACACTTTTTAGAACATGCATAGAAAATGACGCTACGTTTTTGAAGTGAGGTAGGTCTGTGCGTCCAAAAAGACTTTCAGACAAGTTACGTCAAGCTGCCCAGGTGTGTGGTGACACGGAAGTACATTTTTAGGAGCTCTGCCCATGTATGTCTATTCTGACATGTGCTTTTACAAGCTCCGTAAAACTTGCAAAAACACAAACCATTTACAGGAGTTCCCTCCAGGCAAAAGAGTGGATCTGGGATTTTATTTACTGGATTTGGTTCTGTGTTTAATTTTGACAAGCATGTATCACTTTCATAATTAAAATTTAAATATTAAGAAGGAAATTACCATGCTTGCTTATTAAGCCCCAACCTTTTGTCTCTATGGTGTAACGGCAGTCTAACTAATTTTCCTGAACACCAGTAAGATTTGTTTTTTAAGGAAAAAAGCTTATGTTGCAGGAAATGTGCCTTCTCTAGACACAAGCTGGCGGGTCGAAGTCCGAGCCCTTTGCCCGGCCCCTACACCACGTTTAGAGAGCAAACAGAACCTTCCCAACCCGGCAGGCACCCTGGGACTCCCGCCTGTCCACCCGAGCCCTCAGCTGCGGGCCTCGGTCTGCAGCTCTCAGTACACATGGTCAGGGGCCACCGCAGTGTGAGCAGTCTGTGGTGGCTTCCGCTCCCCGGGGGGCTCACAGCACACACAGCAGGGGTGCAGGACAAGCCTGGACACGCCCACTGCCGTGGACCAGACCACAGTTCCGCAGAAAGAGGTGGGGGACACAAAGCCCTCCACCTGAAGTCCAGGGCTTCCCCTCGTTCTAGAAGTCGCAGGACAGCGGGATCCCAGCAACAGGGGCGCCGCCTGTCTTCACCATGAAAGACCAAAACATCACATACCAGCGTCACCTTCCTCAGAGACTCTTCCGGGGCTCCCGAAGGTCCCCAGCCCTGGTCACCGTGGGAGCAGAGACGCGTGGGCACCCTGGGACTTGCTCTACACCCACACACTCAGGAGACCTGACCCCACAGGGTGACCGTCAGGTAGGCTCTGTAGGACAGCAGACTGAACTCTCAGGGACTGAGAGGGGCCCGTCCACGGGTGCCCGATCGGTCCCTCCTGCGGCAAAGAGCAAAGTCCACGGCAGCCGGGAAGGAGGAAGCAGGTGCTTGAACCCCGGGCACATGGAGGAGAGGAGCACCCAGGACAGGCCCCGTCCCGGGATCAGGATGTGAGGAAGAAGAGTAAGGCGAACCTCAAGATCACCTTATAACTTTTAAGCGAGATTAATGGAAAATGAGTGTGAGCTAAAGTAGCAGCAACAGCTACACAGGAAACCTTATCTGTCCCTCCGTTTGTCAGTGAAGGGGCCACACAGCAAAGGGATGACGCCCACCGCCCACCCCAGAGGTCATGCCGAGTGGTGTTCCTGGGAGGACTCCGGCCCAGAGCCTTCGGGGTCCACAGGACGGACTCCGGCCGGCCACGCGCCTCCCGCTCCCAGGCAGCAAAACGACATGCCGGCCAGTGCGGCGTCTACCTGGGAAACCAGGACCCGGCAGGGACAGGACAGGTACACACCTGCCCTCAGGGCACAGAGTGCCCCTCGGCAGGAGCGCAGGCCAGACACTCACCCTGAGCCTCCGTCCTCGCCTGGAAAACACAAATGGTAAGATTTCCTCCACGTGGGTGGGGAGAGAATGGGTAGATGAGGGATTCTGAGAGTGCTCGGCCCAGAGCCCACATGCATAATCACAATTAATAATAGTAATAGTAATAATAATAATAATTATTATTATTATTAATGATAGTTTTCCAAAGTGATTGGACCGAGTTACAGCCGCCTCGATGTGCGAGCGCTCACCGTCTGTCTTTTTCATTTTAGCCAGTCCGGTGCAGCGCAGACACCACGTCTGTGGTTTTTCCATTTTCACTTCTCTGATGACTAAGTTGCACACCTTTCCAGACGTTCATTACACTCCTGGACATTATCTGAGAGGTGCTGGTTCAAGTCATGAACAAGCGTCCTGCCTTGTTTCCGTACTGATGCTTGCCAGCTCATCCACAGCACAGGATTACCTGGTGGTTTTGCTGCTTCCTTCCTGCCTCTGGAAAGAGGTAAATCGTGCCCATGTAACTGATGGCCTTCCGCTGCGGGAACGTGAGTTCCCGACCAGGTGCTCGGCTATCAATCTGATCTGGGGACCCCCCGTGGCTATCACTAGTCCTAAAAAGCACCATGTCTCCAACCTGCTCCTCTTCTCCCCAGTCTTTTCCCAGCCCTCGATTGTTACAGAACTCTGAGGTCCCTGTCCCCGGAGACGAGGGACAGCAAACCAATTTCCATCTCCAACTTCCCCAAGCTCGGTCGTTCTGGGAGAGGTCTGGCTGATGACTAAGTGACCCTCGGCCACTCTCCCCAGAAACCAGCCACCGTGGGGCACACATGTCTGCTGGGCACAGTGCACCGTGCCTCACACATCACAAGGCTCTCAGGGCCACCCACAGCCCCTGAAGCCATCGCAGCTGCGCCCTCTTGAGGGAGTGAACGCCCTGAGCCCTGGGCGTAGTCCAGCCACAGGCAGGTGACAAGCCCACGGAAGGGAATACACTGAGTGCAGTTTCAGGATACAGCATAGCTTGGTTTTCTTGTTCACACAACAGCAGCTTGTAACAATTTAACCATAAGCTGTGTACTAAATCAATAATGAGCAAAAAAAGCAAATAAACTTTTGTAGATTCACAACGTTGGAGAAGAGCCGCTCACGGTACTGTTAGCTGGGAGCTGCCGTGTGGGGCATAATATTTAAGCAACATTACTTTCAACAAGTCATGATTATACAGATAAAAAGAATGAGACTGGCCACGGGTTGCATCAATCCTACTCATATCCCAAAAGCTGTTTTGCTTTTACCAAACAGTAGCTGCCAGCACGCTATTTGCTGCAATTATTACACAGGCGCTTAAGTCCCTGGGAACTGGGAACTATGGGTTACAACCTAGACTGTCAGACACGTGGCTGGGGGCTGGGAGCGCTCCAGCCCTTTAAAGGACACATGTCTCCCAAGAACCAGCAGGGGGCGTGATTAGCACTCACCTAATGGCAGATCCTGAGGGTGACGTGGGCACAGAAGCGAGATGGTCAGCCTGGAGCCCAAAAGGAGGGTCCCCACTGCCAGGAGCCAGGTCACGGGAGGACAGGAGAGGGGGCCTGGGTCACTGGAGGCCACTCTGTGGGGGGCCCGAGGGCACCCCTACCCCACCCCAATTCAGTGCTCTCCGCCAGAGCTGCTGGCTGTCACTGGGCTCCCAGGGGAAGTGCCCTAACAGGACACTCCTGTTCCTGGCACACATGCACAGACGTGGGGTCACATGGCACCCCAAGCATCCACACTGCACAGTTACATCCACCTTCCTGAGACTTCCGGACTTCGGAATCTGCTAACAAAAGCCGGGTTCAGCTCTGCTGGGGCAACACCCACGGCTGTGCCCCCCGCCCCCATACGCCCTGGGCCCAGCAGCACTTTTCAGCTTGGCCCCTCAGTGCACCCCTCCAGGAACGCACAGAAAGGGAGCACATACCTGAACTTGCTCATTTGGATTTGGACTAATGAGAACTAATTATAAATATCCTTGGCCTATAAGAAAACTTCAAAGTATATTCCCCTTTAAGAAAATTAGTCAACACGCACGAAGGCCCAACTGTGCCCCACAAGGTCCCTTCAATGTCAATGAAGCTGGCGCAAGCAGCCTGGCTCTCAGGGCAGATGGACTTCATCGTCTGCCAGCAAGAACCGGGCCCAGGTCACAGGGACGGGCCCACTCCCAGGGACGGGGCTACTGCAGGGAGTGTGCAAGAGCGCACGCGCGCGCACACACACACTCACACACACACCACACACTCACACACCACACACCACACACACACCACACACCCTCCACACACCACACACACACCACACACACACACACCACACACACACATACAAACACCACACACCACACACACACCACACACACACACACCACACACCCTCCACACACCACACACCACACACACACACACACACACACACACCACACACACACCACACAC